TACTGGCCCCTCCTAATAACAAGGCCCAAGTATGTGAAACAAGGCTCTGCATAGTCAATAAAACACTGAACATCTCCTGTTTCTGGTATGCTCTGATTTCAGCTGAGGTCTATCTGACATCAACGATGATAGTCTTTCTTCATCCTCTTCTAAATCTAGCTTGAATTTTGGCAATTCCCTGTTTTATTTACTTGTTATATTAATGACATTGTTCTATAATTTCTGCATTCTGTTGGATCACCTCTTGCAAACAAAACTTTTATATAAAACTCACATGTATACACTGTCTCACACTCACACGTAGAGAATGATTTATTGCAAAGAAATGACTCATGTGCTTCAGAGGCTGGCAAGTCTCAGGTTAGTAGCTTAGACTTCAGGACAGAGAGCACTGGGGAGGCTCATGAGTCCAAGCCGTGGACAGACAGGCAGTGTCTCAGGCTGCTGGCTTTGGAGGCTGCTAGTTTCAAGAGCTGATAAGTCCAGAGGTCATTGTGGAAGACCAGGCTTATAGACAGCTGGTTTGAGACTGCGGAGTCCAAAGTTGGCAAGTACAGCAGGCCACTGGTTCAAGTCAGGTCATCAGGCAGAAAGCCAGACATAGACCTCATAAAAAGCTCTTTAACTTTTTGTCAGAGCTGTTTTTGGTCTGTGCCATTGAGTTGGAGCTGACTCATAGCTGACCCTCCAGCATGTTTTCAGAGGCAGTAATTGCACGAAAGGAAATTGCCTATCCTTCTCCTGAAGAGTAACTGGTGGATTCGAACAGGGTGCCTTTGAGATTGCCGTACAGATTCTTACCACCAGGCCACCAGAGCTCCAGTGCAGGTCACATCTTGAGAGTCACTGCAAGGAAATGGTTCATGTACTTGAAGAGACTGGAAAGTCCCTTAATCAGACATTGTTGCTGTTAGGTGCCATTGAGTTGACATCTATAATGTGACTAGAGGCTCCAAAGTTCTGTCACCTTGAAAAATACCTAACCTTTGAAATCTTCTTTTCAGCACTCTTGCTCCATCCTTCCTTCTATTCATTTTTGTTTTTCCTATGTTCTAGAGCAACTGTTCTTCCTCCTTTGTGATTCCTGTAGGAAGGCTCTGTCTCTAGTGTCACATCTGCTAGTCAACTACTCTAAGTGCTCTGTGGTACGTAGGGTTTTCTGGGGCCTGTTATTTCAGACCAATTCAGGCCAATAGTAGTTCATTTCAGCTCATTAATGCCTAAAGTACCAATCTTTGTGCTTTCCATTTCATATTTTACAACTTCCAATTTTCTCCTAAATTATACATCCCTCCTTCCAGTGAAGGCCTACAGTGGTTTCTTCTCATTTGGAGCTTTACAACATCAGCAGATGAAGGTCCTTCACTGGCTGAAACTTTTTACTCCACCCATGCTATTAAAGCAGACTCTATTTTGAGCTTTTGCTTCCATGGACTATATTTGTTAGTACTTATACTATACTATTAGATAGAAACCTGAGGAACATAAAAAAAATTAGACATTCATTTAAAAATAATAAAATAATTGCATTATATATTGACATAATGAATGTGTATATAAAACTACTTTCTAAAAATTAGGGAGGGGAGAAGCATTTTATATTTTTAGTATCTGTTTAATGTTAGACTTAGTCACTTACAATCTCATATCTGCTCCAATATTCAGTCTGTTGTGTTAGATTGTTTTGGATGAATATATGAAGGAAATCTGATGTCCTTCCGATGTGGATTTAAAACACCCTCCCGCCCAGTGCTGTTGAGTTGATTTAGACTCTAAGCTACAGAACAAAGAGCTGTCACTAAAGTTTTAAAAAGCTGTCTATCTTCATGGAATCAGACTAGCTCTTCTTTTTTCCCTATAAGTCAGTTGGTTTGAAACACCAACTTTGACATTAGCAGTTGAACATTCAACCAGTACATTTTGAACAGAGCTCCTTGTAGTTAAAAGGGGCTATTTTCAGGTAATTGTAGAGATTCTTCTTTAATAACTACAGCAAACCTCAACAAGTGAGAATTTACTAAAGGCTACTTGCAATGTGGAATCTGAAACTGTATCAATGAATGCCACACTATTATGGAATTATAAACCATTGGTTTGTCTTGTACTTTGAATGCATCTTTTACTGACACGTGATTTTGTAACATTCTGTCTTGGTCATTGGGAAAATATTGGTTCATTTGATTATGTAAGTATTCCAAATGTTGACACTTCTCACAAAACATTGTTTTTAAAAAATCACATTTGTTAAGATTACCACTGAACTTATTAGGAAAATATATTAAAGTATTGGAAAATTGTCATGCTCGTGGTACTCAAGTTTTCCAAAATTCTGTTTTTTTTCTTGAAAGCTTACACTTTTTTTGTTGGCAAAAAATAATGTAATTTTTCTTTAAAGTGACAAAATGGCTCTGTTTGTTCATTTTTGAGCAAAGGAGCTTGAAAGACTAGTTTTTCCTGTCATTTGTTCTTTCAAATAAGAACAATGATTCATGGAGAGAGGGGGCTAGTTCAGTTTGCTTCTCATTCACTCATGCCTTTTCCTTTGAGGCATCTGCCATACGCTGATGTATGCCTGCATAGGATATTAAGAAGTATGCTCAAGGGCTAAAACTTTACAAAATTAATTTTCACTGCATCATCAAGGACATTCTTAAGAGAAAATGGCTTTTCTTTTTTCCCTGAGAGTATGTGAGCGGTGACTAATACAGTGATTATTACTATAATTTTCTGCTATGACTCACACAAAGACATCAGCAGTGGTACTCATAACCCCTTTTACGTCATTGTGCAAAGGTCAACACAAGGAACAAGACAAGAATCATCACAGCTCTACTATGAAGATAGTTTGGACTGCATGGATCCCTTGAAAGGACCTTGGAAACTCCTGGGAGCCTGTGGATCCCTCTTAGAGGATTGCTGGTTTAGAAAATGTACTATAAGAAGAATGGATGCCTTTGAGTTGTGCTGGAGAAGAGTACAAAACATACCACGGGCTGCCAGGAGAACAAATAGGTCTGTCTTAGAGAGGGTGAAACCAAGTTTCTCCTTGGAAGCAAGTTCCGTCTCACATACTTTGCGCACATGTTCAGAAGGGACCTGTCCTTAGACACATCATGCTTGGAAGGGTGGAGGGACAGCATAGGAGAGGAAGACCCCAGATGAGATGATTGACATGATAATTGGGGTAATGGGATTAAGTGTGTTGGAGTCAGTGAGACTGGCTCAGGGTAGGGCAGGGTTCAGAGCTGTTGTACATAGGGTAGCTATGAGTTGCAGGTGATTCAACAGTACATAACAAAAACAGAATAATCATTCTGTGCTTTTATTATCACATTATACAGCAAAGCTATTTTTGAAAAAAAATCTGATCAAGTGGTTTCTGTTGGATTGGTTTTTCTCACTGCTGGTTTATTTTGTTTTGCACTTGACAGTGGAGGCACTTGACCTGTGGCTCCAGGGGGCCGAGTGACTTACCCAGCACCTTTCCTGGCAGTTAGTAGTTGAGCCAAGTGTTGGAACCTCAGTCTCAAGTTTAGTGGAGGCTCACAGTCTAACTATGACGAACAGAGCATGCTCTCCACCAGAGGCGCAAGACAGCTGCACTGCCAGGGACTATGGCGCGCTTTCTCCTCGCCAAGCCCAGAACCCAAGCAGGCGTTGCAAATTGTGTAGACGGGCTGACTTCCTCTCTACCCCTTTCCAGTCAGTGCATGGGGTGGTCATTCCAAGGTCCTTCCTGAACTGTATCCTAGTTAAAGATGATGGTGAGTCGTTCAGAGGAACTCTATGCAGTCACAAGAAAAAGAAAACTTTTTAAATACTAATATACAAATCTTTTCATGGCATACTGTCAAATGGAAGCAGTAAGTTATAGAAAAGTATATAAAGCTTGTACCACACACTGGTCATTTTCTAGGAGAAAAAGAGTTGTTGTTTCTGGGAACTAAGGAGCTGTGTGGGAGTGAGGCTTTTCAATGGACAGATATCTTTTCCTACGTTTTGAAATTTGAAACCCTCGTGATTTCTCTATTCAAACAAACATATTTACAAGCTCATAGTTATTTGTCCAGCACAATGACTTAGGAATCAGCACTGAGAGGTACTTTGGTAGCAGAAAGGACAGTGCCATCCAGCCCCATCTTCCTCAACAACAGTGTGGCTGGTGGCTTCGAATGGCCGGAGAACGTCCTATTTGAGTTAACAGCATACTTTCCTACGACTACACCACCAGAGCTTCCTTCAGGAAGATCACTGCCTTAGGAACCCTTGTCCTATAGAGCTTCTATAGGAGTGCTCTAGTGGCCTAGTGGTAAGGAGTTGCACTGCCAACGCAAAGGCAGTCTGTTCAAATCCACCAGTTGCTCCATGAGAGAAAGATTGCGTCTCCTCCTGTGTGATTTACTGCCTCTGAGAACTTGCTGGAGGGTCAGCTATGGGTCGGTTCTGACAGGACAATAACTAACAACATGAGACAAAATTGATTTGGTGGCAATGGGTTTGATATTTGGGGTCTTGGGTGTATTTTTTTTTATATTTCAAAAAGGATGCTGAGTACCCCACTATACAACCTTAATTGTGGACTCTTGTGATAACTATAATACCCTATTGTGTGAGGGGATTGTATACCAAAGAAAGAATTTTTCTTTTACTTTTCAAAGAGAGGAATGAACTGCTGGGACAGGGCAGGGCAGGGAGAAAAGTGCAACAATGAATGAATGGAAATCCAAGATCTATGTAAATGTTCATTAAAATTATTAAAATAAAATCTAAAAAAAAGGGGTGCTGAATGCTTTATAGAAATTATCTTCACAAATCTGTGATGAAGATAGTCCCAGTTTAAACAGGGAAGCTGAAGTTGTGCAGGCATGAAATCTTGGTCATGACCCAGTGAGAGGGAACCTGGATTTGGGCGGGTCAGCCTGAACACGACGTGTGCCCATACCAGTTGTGCCAACCTTGTCTTTCTGTGTGGCCTTTTCTCCTCCCTGTTCCATCTGCAGATAAGATCCTGGTTCACTGTGCCATGGGCCGCAGCCGGTCGGCCACCCTGGTCCTGGCTTACCTGATGATCTACAGGGACATGACTTTAGTGGATGCCATCCAGCAAGTGGCCAAGAACCGCTGTGTCCTCCCCAACCGCGGCTTCCTGAAGCAGCTCCGAGAATTGGACAAGCAGCTAGTGGAGCAGAGGCGGCAGGCCCAAGGCCAGGCCGGGGAGACCGCCAGCGAGAAGGGGCTCTAGGTCCTCCTCAGAGCGGGCAGAGCCTCATGAGGTCAGAGCGCCGAGCCTGTGACCTCAGGTGTCACCGAGGAGGGACAGTGAAACCACAGCTTGACTTCCTCCAAACAATCCTAAAGTCCCTGGTGTGTGCTGGTGAGCAGAGGGGATGTGACACGGCCAGGACTTCACTTCGTGGAGAAGGGCTTCTCAGCAGGCGTGCTAACAGCTGAGCCCAAGCTCTCCACAAACAGAAAGTCTCAGGCTCCCCCACATCCTTTTTTAAAGATAGAAGCAAAATGGACTTCGAAATACATAAGCACTATGTTGTGAATTAAACATCTTTGTCTGAGTCACATTCTAATGAATTTTCTTGAGATACGACTTTTTAAAAAAAATTTAACATTAATTTCAAGGAAAATTTACAAGACTTTTGATGTCCAATCATTTATTGTTGCACTTTTCTCTCCTCCCAGCCCTCCCCCTGAGATATGACTTTTTAACCAGGCATCTGAAAGTGTCACCTGAGTTTGTGGATCTTGTTAATAAGCTCCACCCCTGGCCCCTCACATTTCAGGAATCCCCTGTGTCCATGTTGTCTTGTCTGTGGACTTCTCAGGCCTGGTCCACCACGTGTAGATGCTGATGGCTGGGTGACTAATTTGGTTGGGGTGGGGCTGGGGGGTTCTGGGTCCCATCAAGGCCCCAGCCTTAGGCTTCCCCCATCTTAGGGGGTCAGCTGTACCGACAGGCAGGACCTTCCAGATCTCAATGTTACAACACAGAAAAGATAAGCAAACTGATCAGTTTGGGAATTCACTTTTATAATTTTAGGATAGAAGAGTCTTTAGGGAAACAGAACTCTGCTAGGCTCCCTTCACTTTAATTCTAGACCAAGCAACACAGACTTGTTTTCAAACCAGTGTTTCCCATGTGGTGGCAGCGGACACCTGGGGCCACTGTGGGGTCCTCTCCCCGGAAGTCAATCCTCAGCATGCCAGTCACCACAACTGTGCCAGGCTCGTTCTTGAGGGGGAAGCGGCAGCAGGCATGGAGGGGTCAGTGGTGACTCCTGGGAAAAGCTGCCCCAAACCAGACAGAACGTAGATAGAGATGCTGACCGAGATGTCCGACATGAGGGCAGACGCCGAAGCTGCAGGTGAAAGGAAAAAAGGGTGACCCGAGTGCGTGTGTGTGTGTGTGTGTGTGTTGCTGGGCAACATTATAAAGGTTTAGTTGTGGCTCCACTCTGGTTATGGTTTTTCTGGAGAATGGAGACTGGAAGTCTTAGAGGGGGAAAGATAATGCCCGGGGGCTCAACAAATTAGCGGTCACCAAGGGTCACCAGTGACTTTGGGGAAGCTTTGGCTCTGCTTTTGTTTCACAGAGGAAGCCTTGAGCCCTGCAGTTCTGGGACAGGCAAGCCCGCCCTCATCTTCCCTGGGGCCCAGGGGTTGCAGGCTCCTCATACATGTACAGAAGGAACTCTGAGACTTCGGGGTAAGAGTATTCCCCTCCTAACAGGGAGCTCCGGTGGCCTGGCCCACAGGGAGTTGTGCCCCGCTGACCCAGAGGTGGCACTTCTGCTGGTTCCAATCTTCCGGGGACTCAGAGAGAATGATGGGCAGTTTCCTCTCTTGGGATTTACAGCCTCTGAAACCTCCCTGGAGGGTCAGCTTTGAATCCAGTTCTCACTCTTCAGCAAGGAGACTACACTTAAATACCTGAAACACTGTAAAAAGGTTTGCAAAGCAAAAAGGCCTGGGTGAAATGGAAACATGAATGTGTAGTAGTAAATGGGTGCATCTGATGCTAAGATTAAAAAAGGAGAAAGGCTTTCTTTGAAATTGTGACAGTACTGTGCCAAGATCCTGTGACCTCCAGAGTGATGGGGTAACACCCAGGGACAATGGAGCTGCTCAGTGAGCAATTCAGGTTTGGGAGTAAGGGGAGCCATTCAGTCTTTTGGGAAAGGTATGCAGACAGGCCCTGGCCTTGTCTTTCCTGTCCTGGGTCCTGATTGCTTCCTCCGAATTCAGTTATGTCCTAGGTCTGATCTATTCCTTGTCCAGAAAGAAACTGGTATTTCTACATCAATGAAGTACAAGAACCCACAAGTGGAGAGGCTGGGAGATCTACAGCCCCCTGCTGGCGTTGACTGGCATGTCTCTGTGCTCCTCCCACTTCTCTGTGGGACCTAGAGTTCTGCATGAGTCACTACAATCAGGCAAAGTTCAAGTCTGATCTCTGCCAGAGACTCCTGGGAGCCAAAGGTAAGGGGGACTCTTTGGAGGTAATCTAAATTTACTCCGTCAATAAGCATGTGCTCAAAATCTACACTATACTAAGGGGGCTCTGCTGGCGTAGTCCCTACTGTGTGGTGCTGATAACCCAAAGGCCATGTATTGCATGGTTTGGATTCACCAGATGGACAGTCTCCGCTCGTTGCAATTTACAGCCTCAGAAACCTGATGGAGAGTTACTATGAATTGATAGCCATGGGTACCTATGCCAAGAACTGGGTTGTTGTTAAGTGCTGTCCAGTCAGAGACGACTCATAGAGACCCTATGAACGAAAAACCTGAACACGTGTAAAAATTTCACTGTTTCTCCAAGTTCATAGAGTTTCCAGAGGCAAGTTCTTTCAGAAGAGTATGCCTCTCCTGGTTCCAAGCTTGTTTTAATTGGGGGGCTCCACCAAACACTGTCTACCATGTGTAACCATTATTGCATTTGACACATAAGTGTCACAGTATTCAGCATCACAGCAATTACAAGTTACCTCTGTACAGCAAACAGACAGACCAGTGCTATGACACTTAGAATGTTTGGCCAAGAACAATTAAAACCAGGCTGGAGTGCCACAGATGAAAATCACCCACCTTTGGCTTAATAGCATAACTTTCTATCCACTAGGCCAACAGAGCTCTATGTTGTTGTTGTTAAGTGTCGTTGAGTCATGTACACTGTAATTAAGTGCACTGAGGAAACAGCGTTAAGTGCAGAATGAAGGAAAAAGGGTGAGAGATAAACACATCGTAGGTGGATGCTCAGACGACTGAGGAGATAGGTAAGCTCTGATTTGGGGGGAGAATTTCTAAGGAGGAAGGGGTGTCCTAGACCAAGAAATAGCACAGGGCAAGGCCCAGGGTGGCAAAAAACTGGATGGGTTTAAGGAACTCTTCGAAGAGACTGGAGTTGAGTAAGGGTGAATGGAAGGAGATGGATGGAGAGTCTTTATTCTTAGTGCAAAGTAAAAATCACTGGTGTGTTAAGCAGAGGACAGGAGACGGATCATTCTGAAAAACGTGTGGAGAATAGGTTGCAGAGCAGAGTGAGGAAGGGAAGCAAAGGACGAGTGAGGAGGTTGTGGGCAGGGCAGATTTAGTTTACCCGGTAAAGGAAGCACAGCTAGGTCTGTTGCACATTTCCCCACCACGTCAAAGATTCTGCTTCTAGGTGTGTCTGGCATCTTTCCCATCACAGCACTTTTCCAGACAACCAAAGTCTCATTTCAAATGTACAATCCCTGACAGAGATGGAGCACTCAGCAAGCAAGGGAAGCACAGGCTCATTTGTGTTTCCTTAATAAACTGTAGTTAAATGTCATGTGTATTTTGCTATATCAAAGATGTGGTACAATTTACATGTAATAAACCAGCGCTTCCCTTCTTTACCAGATATCCTGCACCGGCTCTGGGAGCTGTTGGAGACAGCTTCAAGGAATTAGTAGAGTCAGGATTATTATGGCGCGATCCTGGAGAATCAACAGGCCTTGCTGGCAAGGGGAGAGGGAAATGACTGATCCAGGTTTCTCAGTGCTGGAGTACTGGGATGCGCGTGTCCAGGGCAGGAATGGAGAAGCGGCAGGCATGAGCAGCTCAGGCCTGTGAAGCATGCAAAGGCGTCCTACACCATTTTTTGTGAATCTAGAGCTCTGAGGAATGTTTGGGGATGTAGTTCTGGGAGCTATTTGTAGAGACTTTGAGAAAAGGGAGGAAGGGTTAAGCCTGAGGACTGTGGAACACCAGCACTAAGGATGGGCCTGGATGGAGATCCAAGAAAGGCAAGTAGGAAGAAAACCAGGAGTGAATTCTCGAATCCTGACTAGAGACAGAAGCTAATTCTTCCTACCAGAATAGTACTTGTGTTTTAGAATAACCATTGACCAAGGTTTGCTTTTAACAACAGAAAAGCCTATTCTTATACTGCCTGTAACAATTTTTAAAGTATTGTGCATTCATTAGCTAAGCCTTTAACTCAGAAGTTATGACCTTTTCACAAAGTGTTCCGGTGTGTGTGTGTGGGGGGAGCAGCAACTTGGAGAGACCCAGGTTTATTTCACTGACTGCAGCTGGGTGAGTTTGGGCAATTAAACACACTACTGTTGAGTCTCACGCTGCTCATCCGTGTATTTTGTCCCACGTCTTGCAGGGGTGGTGTGAACCTGCAAACTCATACTGTTAGTCATTATCCTCTTCATGACTAGGAGGCCAAGGCCTTCACACCTGGGCAAGCCACTACTAAACAGGCTGGCAACTGACAATCCCTTGTTAAGATCCGTAGAAAGACAGACACACATTAAAAGAAAACCCTAGTGAAGCCCAATGCTGTAAAGTTGATTCTGACTCTGAGCAACCCAGCAGGACAAGACAGAACTGCCTCAGAGGCTTTCCACAGCCGTGATTTGTAAGAGGCAGACGCCACATCTTTCTCAAGTGGAGCAGTGAGGGGGATCACACTGACAACCTTCTGGTTAGGAGACAAGGGCTTACCCACCTTGCTACCAGGGGCCCTCTAAAGACCGAATTACTGATTCTAAAAGATAGGGGCTAACATCAGGTACATAAGGGATTGCATGGAACAGAATGAATTTGAATGGAACACAATCTAAATGATTACTGTATGAAAAGAAT